TTATGTTTAGGTAATTGCTTCCATGACTGTGGGTAAAGATGTATCAGCACTGTTTCCTGATGTGGTCAACTGTATGCAGACTGACAATTTAGAACTCAAAAAATTAGTGTATTTGTACCTGATGAATTATGCCAAAAGTCAACCTGATATGGCCATCATGGCTGTCAACACATTTGTCAAGGTAATGTAGCTTAGAAACTTAATAAATAACTTACCATGTTTTATTAATGCACTTTTACCCTTTATATATTTTAATGACACTTGGATGATGTTGAGAGTCTCTGTCTGCAAAGAGGCAAGCTGGAAAAAGATTTATATAGTAGTTCCCTTAAGTTTCACATATTTTTTTTTGAATAAATTTAACATTAATTTTACAGCCTGCCTCACACCATGTACAGACTGTGCTTTGCAAATTACATCAGTTTGCACAGAGCTGTCTGCGTTATGGGACGGAATGTACTTTTTTTCCTCTTAATGAATTGCTTATTTTTCAAAGGGCACGAGACTGGAATTTGGCTGAATAAAATGTAGCATCTGATATTATATATCTTAAATTACATAAGAATATATTCATAATTCACATCAGTTTGAGTTATTACCACCAAATTCCAGTATTTCTTTTCAGTTAAGCATCAAAACCAGGAATGGAATTATGACAGTGTAATATTTAGCAAAAATATTAAAAAAGTCACTTGAAGTGCTCAATGATATATGTGTTAGTTTTTTAATATTAATGCACTAATATACTTTATGCTGGTTTTCAAAATTGAGCATGGAACTTTTTCTACAAATCACAAAAATATTAGTTACATTTAAACAGCTTATAGAAAGTTGTATAATAATAACACAGCTATAATAAAGATGCATTAATGTATTAAAGATGCAATTGGTCTTAAAAGAAAACTATGTGTAAAGCAGCCTCAGTGGTAGAATCAAAAATTTATTTCTTAGTCATGTCTAATGTGTAAACAGCATGAATAAACCAATTCCTTAAATGTCCATTATATTTATATGTATTACTGCATTATAAATTGATGCTTGTATGCAGTGCATATATTTATACTATTTGCACGCAAAGTGTTTTATTCTTTCCAAAACTTTAGTGTTGACTAATAAATGTAATGAGTGTTCAAAATATTTCATAATACAATTATCATAAACACTTTGATGTATATCTTTTGATGTTTGAATAAATATCATGTAACATATTCTTATGTGCATGACACCAAACTTAATGTGAAATTTATGATTTAATTTTAATTTACAAATTACTATAAAAAATAAAGAATTATAAATAGAAAAATCTTAAAATGGATATCTCGTGCTCTTTAAAAAATGATCAGTTCTGCATCACTTTATATTAAATGGTTGATAAGTATAATATTTAACAATTAATCAAAATGGTGACGGTGACCAATTTGACCTTTTTCGTTCTGACACGCAAAAGGAGCTAGCGACATCTCCGATGACAAAGGTACCATACCACTTTCTACTTCATTAAAATTCATGGGTTGAGATAGATAGCCACTGCTGTGACTAGACTTGAATCCCTGGCTTGCCCGATTTTTGCGCAGGATTGCGAGGACCCAAATCCGCTGATTCGAGCATTAGCAGTTCGCACAATGGGTTGCATACGCGTGGACAAGATTACTGAGTACCTCTGTGAACCACTGCGAAAATGCCTGAAGGATGAGGATCCATATGTTCGTAAGACTGCAGCAGTTTGTGTGGCCAAGCTATACGATATTAATGCAGCTTTAGTTGAAGATCAAGGATTTCTAGATCAGTTAAAAGATCTTTTATCAGATAGTAATCCTATGGTAAATAATTTAAACTTATTTATCTCTTAAATATTGATATAAACATCATTAATTATTTATTTGCCATTCTATTAAACTTTTACATTAGGTTGTTGCAAATGCTGTGGCTGCTTTATCCGAAATTAATGAAGCAAGTCCCAGTGGACAACCTTTAGTTGAAATGAATGCACAGACCATTAATAAGTTATTAACAGCGCTGAATGAATGTACAGAGTGGGGTCAAGTTTTCATTTTAGATTCCCTTGCAAATTACTCACCTAAAGACGATCGTGAAGCTCAAAGCATTTGTGAACGTATTACTCCACGTTTAGCTCATGCTAATGCTGCAGTTGTTCTATCTGCTGTAAAGGTGAATATCGAAATTTAATATTTGTAATTATATTTTTAAACAATTTTGGAAAAATGTTTTTATAAATGGATATTTTTTGTACATAGGTACTAATGAAGTTAATGGAAATGTTACAATCAGAATCGGATTTTGTTGGCACGTTAACAAAAAAATTAGCTCCTCCGCTTGTAACTTTACTTAGTTCCGAACCTGAAGTTCAATATGTAGCATTACGAAATATAAATCTTATTGTTCAAAAGCGTCCGGATATTTTAAAACATGAGATGAAAGTTTTTTTCGTCAAGTATAATGATCCTATTTATGTTAAACTTGAAAAATTAGATATCATGATTCGTTTAGCATCCCAAGCTAATATAGCTCAGGTTTTATCTGAACTGAAAGAATATGCTACAGAAGTTGATGTAGACTTTGTACGAAAAGCCGTAAGAGCTATTGGTCGTTGTGCCATTAAAGTTGAACCCTCTGCTGAACGATGTGTTTCAACACTTCTAGACCTCATACAAACAAAGGTACTTTAAAATATGCATATAAGATTAATTACCCATATGAATGATCTTGTAAATTTTTCTATTATATTAGGTCAATTATGTTGTTCAAGAGGCAATTGTTGTTATAAAAGACATTTTCCGAAAATATCCAAACAAGTATGAAAGTATTATTTCAACTCTTTGCGAAAACTTGGATACTCTTGATGAACCTGAGGCTCGTGCATCTATGATATGGATTATTGGGGAATATGCAGAACGTATTGATAATGCAGATGAATTGCTTGAAAGTTTCTTAGAAGGATTTCACGATGAAAATACACAAGTTCAATTGCAACTACTCACAGCAATAGTTAAACTATTTCTTAAAAGACCTACAGATACTCAAGAATTGGTTCAACAAGTTCTTAGTTTAGCAACGCAAGATTCTGATAATCCTGACCTACGAGACCGAGGATTTATTTATTGGCGTTTACTTAGTACAGATCCAGCAGCTGCTAAAGAAGTTGTACTTGCTGAGAAACCTTTAATTTCAGAAGAAACGGACTTGTTAGAACCAACATTATTAGATGAATTAATATGTCATATTTCAAGTTTAGCTTCTGTATATCATAAACCACCAACTGCTTTCGTTGAAGGTAGAGCAGCAGGTGCTAGAAAATCATTACCTGCTAGAAGTAATTCGAGCGAGGATTCAAGTCAACATGCAGCACAGCCCGATCTTCTTAGTATGGATATTGGTAAATAAAACTTGTATTATTTATCAGTATTTTCATTGACTCTATAAATTATACATTACATTAATTTTTATAGGTGGTCCAACTATAGTTACTCCAACACCAGCTCCACAACCAGGATTAGGTTTGGACTTGTTAGGTGGTGGTTTAGATGGAATTTTAGGTGGAGCTAATACTGGAAGCAGTGCACCTGTTGTATCTCAAAGTACTACTGGACTACTTGGTGATATATTTGGTTTTAATCAAGGACCTACTTCTTATGTAGCACCTAAAGTTAATTGGTTACCTGCTGAGAAGGGCAAAGGATTTGACATTTGGGGAACATTCTCAAGAAAGTAAGTAGTATAAATTATTGATAAATTAATGTAATGTTACATGTAATTCATTTATTTATTTTATAATAGAAATGGTCAGATTAGTATGGATATGACATTTACAAATAAAGCAATGCAACCTATAGGAGGCTTCGCAATACAATTAAACAAAAACAGTTTTGGTTTAACACCAGCTGCTCCATTGCAAGTACCAGGTCCTTTAAATCCTGGTGCTAGTATAGATACCAGTCTAATCTTATCTACGGCCGGTGCAGTACAACGTATGGAACCATTGAATAATCTTCAAGTTGCAATAAAAAATAATATTGACGTGTTTTATTTTGCTTGTATTGTTCCCATGAATGTTTACTTTTCTGAAGATGGTCAATTAGATAAAAGAGTATTTCTTAGTACATGGAAAGATATACCTGCTCAAAATGAGGTATTTATCAACTTTATTTAAATATAGTGTTAATTTCATTAAAATGTTTTAAAGAAATTAATAAAATATCAAAACATAAATATTTTAGGTACAAAACACATTGAAAGGAATAATGTTGCCTGTAGATCAAGTTATTCAAAAAATGCAACAGAATAATGTATTTACAATTGCTAAAAGAAATGTAGAAGGGCAAGACATGTTATATCAATCTCTTAAATTAACAAATACTGTTTGGGTACTAAATGAATTAAAAATCCAACCCGGAAATTCTGATGTTACTGTAAGTTCTAATTTTAATTTTCATAACTTCAAACCTTTCAAAATATTTAGTTATTAAACATTTTGATTGCAGCTGTCTTTGAAATCTCGTTCTGTGGAAGTGGCACCAGGCATATTTCAAGCATATAATGCAATTCTGCATTCTTAAATAGTAAATTAAGTTATTCAATATTGAGTTTAAGCAAATCATTTATGATATGTATTATTGCATATAACTTAACCAACTGGAAATTATAAAAAATGTTTATTTGTATTTTATTATAAACAACAAATTTAATATGCTGTTAAATTTATCACTATAAAACTGTATGTAAGTCAAAATAAAAACAAATTATGTTAATTACCAATTTGGACTTATTAAATTTTTTACATGGAAAATCATAATGAAAAATTATTTTACACATTCAATATGAAAAGTGCTTAAAATCCATTTGTATATTTCATTTTCATAATTGTTAAATAAAGAAATTTTGTTAAATTACATTTCTTAACAAATGATAGGATATAAATAAAAAAATCATATAATAATTCTGTTTATTTATTGAATATAAAGAGAATTGTATACATTATGTTGTCTTAACCATTGTTACATTAGCACTGGACCTTTCTCCTGAATGAGCAACCTTCTGTTAATCGAGCTTTGCCACCTGTAGATGTGCATAATATTGTGCGACATCCATCACATTCCACTGATTTCTGTGCATGTGAAAATATGGTTTTAATGGCATAACATCCAGGACACTTCACATCCATAAAATAACTATTTGGCTTTTGTACAAGCCTTTTTAACTTGTGTTTCCTTTTTTCTTCAGCTGGACTTGGATGAAGGAAATCTTTTGCAAGAGGCA